TGAAATGGCAGTTTGACGTATTGTTGGCTTGAGATGTAGTCTCGCTTAAGTTGTTTGGGTCAGGTTCTGAGCCGTGTTTATAAGTTGAGTTTTGTTAAGTGAAGGATTATGGAACTGGATTGTACTGTATGTTGGTCTATATGAGTTAAGCATTTATCAAGTGCTAATGTTTTAGTTATTACCCATATTATGTTTAGCATATATCTACTGGGCGTTGGCTCACCCTATATGGGACATCATTTTCAGGTACAGGTGTTATGCCACCTCCAAGGACGTAACTTGGGAGGCTTGGGGGCTGTCAGACTCCTTTTTGTTGTTTTGTTGTATTACATGTATATCAAGCCAAGGGTTTATTTTGTGTAAAGTTAGTACTCTCTTTTTGTAACCAAGTGTTGACTTGGAAAATTGTAAGCCTATAGGGCATTTACTTTTGTTGTCAACATGTAATACCTTTTGTAAGAATAGTCTGATGATTGTAGTATGAAATCTCTTCTATTTATTGTGAATGTATGCTATGATGGGTTTATTTTTTAGGGCGTTACAAAAATATAAATAGATGATCTGTATGGTTTTGGATTTTCAAATGAATTTTATAATTAGATTTTTTAAAAGAGTTTGTCAAACTCAAAATTTTGTTTGGTTGTATATATTAAAAATTAAAAATAATTTTTACAAATTTAAAATTCAAAACTTACTTGGTTTTAGAGTTTTCAAAAATAGTTTTTAAAATTTTAATTTGTATTTTATTATTTTTAGTGAAATTTTTAATATTTTAATCAATACTTTTTACTTTTCAGATCCACTCAATTTAAATATTTTGCATTATAAAATTTAGAGAGATGGAGAAATTAAAAATAGTGATGACACAATTATTACCTTGGCCAAGAAAACATGAAAATAATGATGACACAAATGCAAACCAAGATCATGTCACCAAATATTTACTATTGTAGTATTTTTGTTTATGTAACCCACTTGTAATTTGTAATAGAAAATGAGCATTTTATTATCCTGGCCAATAACAGTACCCAAATAAATTTCTATATTCACTTTTTTTTAGATAGTGAGTTTTGGTTGAAGTAAAGAAGAGAGATCTCATAGCTATAGTTTTGCATCAATTTTAATGTAATAGTTAAAATCTACCAATTTTTATGGTTTGGTGGTTAGTTTATTGTGCAGAAAATTAAATAAATGAAAAATAAATAAATTGTATTCTACTTGGTGAATAAATCAATTTAAACATAAATTTTCCAAATTTATAAGTAAACAAAATAGTGAAAAGTAAACACATAAATGCTACGTAAAATTCAAGCACAACAAAAGTATAAGATTTTAAACAAACAATAAAATGTAAGTCCCACAACACAGAAACATCTATATAAAAATCAGACGAAATACGCCAGCCAATGTTCTGCAATAGAAAAAAATAAACAACAAATTAAGCACACCAGCTAATGCTCTGAAACACAAAAAATATGCCAAATAACAAATTAATCACAAAAGCCAATGTTCTGTAATACAAAGAAAATGCAACACCTTTTCTGATAAAAAGATATATGGAGGCAAAAATTCAAATTCAACCAAATAAAAATATGATTAGTTTTCTTTAACCTAATTCAAGAGCATATTAGGAAGAAAAAACAAAAAATATATATATCACCTAGTGTGTTACATTTACAAAAACAAACTCATAGCATAAATCAATAATTCAAATGAATATTATCTAACATACATCTAAACTTAGTTATAAATTTCACATAAATAAAAGGCTTTACAAAACTATTGTAAGTAATAAATTTCACATCGATCGGAAACTTTACAAAATATGGATTGTAGCTAGCATATGTACGCTTTTCACTAAAATAAATATGAGATTCAAACTTGTTCTTTCTTAGAAATCCTAGGAGCACCTCATCACTTTCCAAAAAGTCCTTGTATCAACTTGTATGTATCCCCAGTGAGGAGCATGCACGACAATCTACTAATTTATGAAAACAAAAAAAGTTAGTATATTAGTAAAAGAAAATTTATATATATATCAAAACACTTTCAAATTGAAATTACCTTGTTACATCCCCATCGAATCAATCTAGTTGAATTTATCTTTTTGAGCTCCATATATTTTTTAACCCAATCCTACAAAAATCGACACATATAGTAAAATATTTTAAAAATAACAATTTGTAATCAATAGAAACAAATTTATCAATAAATAAATTGTACATTTTGACAAAAGTGGTTTGATCCATAAGTAACATTATAACAAAATTTCAGGATAAACAATGTTTGTAGTAGAATCTGGCTCATCATTGGGAAGGAGGACACTTATACGATCAAAAGATGTGCATCTAGATAGGGCCACATACAATTGCCCATGACTAAACACAAGTGTGAGCAAATCAACTCCAACAAATTTCACAGATTGCCCTTGAGATTTATTAATGGTCAGGGCATATGCCAATCAAACTGGAAATTGACGTCTTGTCATTCAGAAAGGCATTTCTGAAGAAGACGTTGTCAAGGATATCCTTGGTATGAATACCAAATTGCCACATTTTTCTCCAGCTAAAATTTGAGCTTCAATTATGCGAGTATTGCATCTAGAAACAATCAATCTTGTGCCATTGCACAGTCCATCTTTTGGTGCAATATTTCTTAACAACATTATAGGACAACCCACTTTCAACTCTACCTTAAAAGCCGGTAGCCCAGGAGGATCTAATGAATTTAAATATTCATTAGGATATCTATTTATTATAATACGATCAATTTCATCATCTTCAGACATCTTGTCTGCTGCCAAATAAGTATGTGTGTTACCCGAAAAAATATTCAATGCTGCAGTATTGATAGCACTGACATCATCATTTCGTGCAGAAAAAATTGTACGTTCAGTTAAAAATGTTGCAGTTGATGTCATTGCCACATCTAGTTGCGGATAAATTACTGAGATTATGTCTTTTAGATCTTGCATTTGTGTATTGTTGATGGAAGTTTAAAAAATTCCTGAGGATTGGTCCCAATCTATTTATAAAAATAAATAAATAAAATAGTAAAATAAAATCAATTAAAGTACATAAACGTAAATGTATTTCGTCAATTTAAAAGAACCATATAATAGAGAAAAGGTTTGAAAAAATATTACCTCCATCACGAATTTTGCAAAATTAGCATTTTCAAGATTTGCATGATTCAAGCACATGTTCAAATTTAAAGACAGAACATGTATATCCTTCCATAGAAAAGAGTGTCTTAATGATGCATTCACAATTTGCTCACAGACTCCTTTGGTTATAACTGGTAAGATTTGTCGAAAATCTCCACCAAAAACAACAGTGATACCCCTAAATGGCTTTTCACTATCACAAGTGTCCCGAAGTGTGCGATCAACTGCCTCAACACAATGTCTATGCTGCATAGGAACTTCATCCCAAATTATAAGTTTTGTTTCTCTAAACAATTCTGCTTGTAATGATTGCTTGCTAAATCCACAAATTGAATTTTCCAATACATCCAACGGAATGGAAAATATTGAATGAGCAGTACGACCTCCTACCAATAACAATGACGCAATTCCAGATGAAGCCACGGTAATAACAATATGGCTAAGGCTGCGACACTTCAATGCAATCGCATTGTAGAAAAATGTTTTCCCTGTTCTGGCACCTCCATTCAAAAAGAAAATAGTTCCTTTATTTTCAAAGACTGAGGAAGTGATTGTATCATAAGTTGTTCGTTGATCATTGTTGAGGCGATCAATAATAATTTCTACATCTGCCTGTTGTGCCTCATTCTGCAGTTGTTGATGTTCGAATATCAACTTGTTACCAACTACTGCACTCCAATTTGTAGAAGGTTGTGGAATTAGCGGGAAGTCAATTAAACTTTTTCCTGATTCTTGGAGCATTTGATTCAAAAGATATAGACCATGGTCTTCAATTTGAGCCTCAGTTGGTTCAGAAATGGCAAACAATGTTCGAATCTTATGTGCAAGATCATCACATATATGCATTGAAAATTGATTCCATAACGCATATGGTTGCAGTGGAGAGCACAGAGTAAGAATAATAGTAAACAATCTCCTTAATTGATAACCAGTTTTCATAACTGCAGCCTCTTTATGGCATTGTATCCATTCTTCATCATCTTCTAAAAATCCTCTTGCAACACATGCTGATTTAAACGTATCATGTAAAACATTGTTGACCGTGCGTAAGCATTGAAACGATTTTGGTCCTTTGACAACAGTTAATAGCAAATGCAAATAAAATCTCTTACCACAATTAGGGCTAGCAAAGTACATTCTACCTATTGCATAGCCTTGCTGCCTTGGTTTCCATCTCTTTTCTGAATTAAGCCAAACAAAATATTGTGGAAATTCTTGGTAAGTGAATGGATATTCATCTTCCATAGAAGCACAACATGCAAAAAAACCAGTAAGAGTTGATATTTGTCGGCCAGCTCTAGAAACAATTGCTTCTAATGATTCATCAGGATTAAAAAGAATGCGGTGCATTCTTGGTAAATGAAGTGCTAAGCGTACAACTATTGGTATCTCTGCATGCAATGGATAACCAAATATTCACCAAGCAGCTTCTGGAGGTCCAATATACCTCGCATCGAGATATTGTTGGATCTCATTTATCAATCCTAATACCATCGTAGTACAATCATAACCTTTGCAAATGTACTTGTGTATATACTTGACACATCTCATTCCGGTACAAACTTCCACATTTATGTGACAGTTGAAACGTTTAGAAAGATATGAATTGTATGGTACTATGTCTCTGTTATCAACTTCTTTGCCCCTCACAATATGAGCTCACTGGCAGCACAATATGTAAAGAAGCCAATAAGAGTTGACATTTGTTGACCAGCTCTAGATTGAATCGTTTGTAATGACTCTTCTGGGTTAAAATAACATGATGCATTCCAGGTAAATGAAGTGCCAATCGTACAACTGTTGGCATCTTTGCATGCAAAGGATGACTAAATATTCACCAAGCAGCTTCTGGAGGTCCAATATACCTTGCATCGAGATATTGTTGAATCTCATTTATCATTCCTAACACCATCGTTGTACGATCATAACCCTTATAAATGTACTTGTGTATATACTTGACACATCTCATTCCGGCACAAACTTCCACATTTATGTGACAGTTGAAACGTTTAGAAAGATATGCATTGTATGGTACTATGTCTCTGTTATCAACTTCTTTGCCCCTCACAATATGAGCTTGACCATTATTGCGACGACGATAGATAGGATATCCATCTTGATTCATAGTAATTGTTTCTGCGAACGCTCGAGGGTATCTCTTAGTGCATTTACCATTTTCCATACATGGTGCCTGTGGATTTCGAGCACCACATGGTCCATGTACTATACAACACTTGATAGTTTCAAAAGGCATAGGTTCATCTTCTGGATCTGGAAATTCTGCACAAACCAATTTGTCTAATTGAGCACATGTCCGAATTTTGTCTGGACCCTTAAGAAATAGAAGTGCATGCATATGAGGAAGGCCTCGCTTTTGGAATTCAATTGTAAAAACATACGCAACTTTATTACCAAACACTCGGTTTGTTTCTATCTCCTTCATCAAGCACTTTCTCTTTAACTCAAAAACACGGGCAATTAAATCAAGATGATCAATAGGCTTTTGGTGTGGTAATAATGCCGAAGTAATTTCTGGCCAATTAGGATTTGCAGTCATGGTGAGAAAAATATCTGGATGTTGGTTGTATCGTGTGATAGCCATTGAGTCTTGAAAGATTTCAAACATATGTCTAGGACCTCCAGGAAATGAAGATGGCAAAACACACCTTTGACCAATTTGATTGGGTTAAAGTCATTTGGATCAATATCTGTCAGATCTTGGTAAAGTTCAGCACGAATTTTCCCTTGATTAATTGTAGTAAGTCAAACTATTTTGTTTAGTTGCGGCCCAAGCATCAACCAAAAACTCTTGGAACAATTTTCTGACTCTCAAAATTGTTGAATACTCTGTGGGTCGTTCAAACAAACGATAACTATAAAAATCCATTTGAGTAAGCTGATCAGTTGAAGGCCGATCACATTGAACATCCCATAGTTTCATCTTAAGTTCCCATCCAAGCTCACCATGTGGAAATAATAAAACATAATGTAATGGAAAATATGCTGGGTGACATTCATTGATTTGCATTAGCTCATTATTTCCATGTAGATGTAAGATAACATCTCTCATTCCACTAACCTTGGTTCCATCACCTGGTATTACAACTACAATCTCATCTATAGTTGGTAGGTTATACCGTCGTCGATCTGTCGATGAACTGTAGTGGAGATGAGCAGGCAAATTTTATCCTGTCAAGGCTAATTGATTCAAAATTGCATGAGCCTGGCGAAATTTAGCAACAAATGCATTAACCTGTAATAAACTATCTTGAATAGTTTTTAGGACATCTCTTCTTAACTGAGGATTTCTACAATTGCGAACTTCTAAAGCTGAATCAGGGTCATAAATGTACAATTGCGCATAAGCTGCATCTTGCCTTGATTATGGTAATAGTGATCCTGTTCGATGTCGTAATTCCCCATGGATAGTGAATGATGTAGGGCCTCTTCCAGTAAGTACTCTTGGATCTAATGTAGCACCAAGACTTGTAAAAGCATTGGTTGCATTGTACACTCGAGTATAACGTCGAAACGATTTTGATTTATCATCATTCCCATCATATAATGCTTGAAGAAGTGAAGGGAGTGTAATAAGCAGAGGAAGCTTAACCTTTCCTTTTGAACAACATGTTCTGAATAGAGGACGGTTTGAAGATGATTTTACTAATTTTTCATCCATCCAATGTAATGATGAACAAAAGGACATAATACATCCATCTTGCCAAGAGAATGATGACATGAATTTATATGTGCTCGAGTACCAACCATTGGACTCATAGGCATATCCTCTAATTCCTCATTAGTACATAGACCCTCTTGAAGGGAAGGAGTTGTAAGAGTAGGCCTACAAATATTGGTTCTATGTAAATTAAAATAGAATGGTAATAGTAGGAGTATGTATTTGAAGAATTAAACACAGTCTTTTCCCAATTCCTTTGTGGAGCTAAAGATGTGCTTGGCAATGAGAACGAACATGTGGAAGGATGTGCAACCATTGTTCATTTTTTGCGCCGACTAAGTATCCTCAATTGCCTTTGTTCCTAGTTCCAAGCAAGCACGACTACGATTTAGACACGGTATTAAAGAAGTTTGTCTCGGTTGAATACATTCTCTTGATTTCTCCCGTTCTCGCCGTGCACGTTGGGCCAATGTAGCTTTTGATATAACATTGTTATTGTGTACCTAAAATGTGAACATTATATCATTGATACCTAAAATAAAAATATTATCGTATACTATTTTATTTCTTGATTCTATTAGTTTTGTTATTTTAATTATATTTTACTTTTTCTTCCTACCTTGTGATAATTTTAAGAATATTTTTTCATTTTCTTTGTCCTACTTCCTTTTCCATTTTGCTTCATTTTCCCTCTTCATGCCTTGTGATATAACAATTTGTTTTTTAATTATTGTTTTCTCTTTCTTCTTGCCTCATGATGATTTTAAGAAAACTAAAAATATTTTCTATGCCTATGTTCTTCTGTTCCTTTGCTTAGATGTTATAAAGTTTTTCTTGGAGTTGATAAAGGTTACAATTATTTTTTAGAAAATGCTAAAGAGAGCTAAAAAATACTTTGTTTGAGTGTACAGAAAACAAATAGCACACAAAAAAAATTGACAACACAATTTACATTTTTAAAAATATACATGATCAATGTTTACTTTAACAATATGATTGGCTTTGTTCTACTCGATAAATATTTTTTTAAAAATGTTGAATATATACCATTGGACATACGTTTTCCTTTCCTTTGTCAAAAGAAGTTGCATTTTCTTTTCCTTTAGACATTGCCTTGGTCTTTTCCTTTTCCTTTGCCCACCAAAAATAAATAAAATTTATTCAGAATACAAAAAAAGAACATGTATTTATAGAATTTATTAAGATCACAAAAAAAGAATATGTTGAACTTGATTTTTCTACTTACCTTAGAATTGCGGATACTATTAAGATTGCACTCATCCCGAATAACAACACCGATATTCCTAGTCTCATGGAGGAATGGACTTGCATGAGTAGGCCTACAAATATTTGTTGTGTACAAAATAAAATTTATAAAATATAATCTTAACAATAAGAATATGTATTTGTAGAATTAAATATAATGTCTCACCAATTCCTTTGTGAAGCTAAAGATGTGCTTGGCGAAGTAAGATGTGTAAACATTACTCCTTTCTGAGCCAGTGGAGTATTAGTTGTGCTTGGTGGAATCAATTCTCTCTATCTCTCTCGTTCATGTTGTGAACGTTGTCCCAATTGATGTGAAGAGTTTGCCTTATCATTTCTTTCGCATTCTCGCCGTGCACGTTGAGCCAATGCAGCTTTCGATATAACATTATTGTTATGTGCCTAAAACATGAAGATTAATTTCATAAGATGCCTAAAATACGATTATTATCATCTACTGTTTTATACTTTTCTCTTCATTTTTATTAATTTACTTTATCTTAATTCCCTTTCCTTCTGATATTTTGTAAAAAAATTGAAAACTTTTTCATTCTTTATCCCTCCCCACCCCCTCATTCCTTTTTTGTTCTATTCCTTTTTTCTTCTCTTGTAGATGTTCATGTCAATAGCAAAAAGCCAAAAAAGAATAATAACAATTTAAAGCAAATATAATGTTTTTGTACAAATGTTATTTTAGCATGCTTCCAAAAAAACATTTCACAAATTTACATGAAACTGTTTACTATAAGAACAGTATATGTCACTGTGCAAGTAGTATGTCAATTTTACATTTAAAAATAAATAAATAAATAATCAAGGTTCATGGTCCAAAATAAATATTTCAAAAAAAGAACTTTAATGGAAATGTTGAAGAGCCATACTACTGAACATGCATTTTCCTTTCCCTTGCCCGAAACGGTGGTCTTTTCGTTTTTCTTCAACAATGCCTTGGCAATTTCCTTTTCCTTTGCCTACAAAAAATAAAGAAAATTTTTAAAGAATAAAGAAAATATATATATGCAGAAAGTTTTTAAAAAATATATAAATAAGAATATACAGTGTATACGGTGTTTTGAATAAAAAAAAATCTATATAATTAAATTGGGCCTACCTCTCGAACACGGATAACATTAAGGTCACGCTCATCATGGATAACAACATTAACATTTCTTTCTTGAAGAAATTGGACCTAAAAATACAAAAGAATTAGAGGTAAAAAAAAAAATTTATACATGTAAGAAAATGAGTAAAAGGAGTCAATATTACAGTTCGATGTAGGTCTTCATGCATCTATAAATTATAAGAAAAGAGCATTTTTTTTATAAGGAATTAGATAAAAAATAATGAAAAAAAAAGAAAATTGACTTTTGCTTATAAGAAAAATGTTTTTTTTTTCAAATAAATAAAAAAGAAAACAACTTACATGATCAAAAATAGTAATGTTGTCCATAATTAGCGGTTGAAGGTCAATGGTGTCTCAATCTGAAAGTGTCTGGTTATGTAAATTTGACAAAGATAACTGTATGATGGCAAAATGGGATTTAATAATTGCCATAAAGAAAAATTAATCGTTACAAAATTAACAACCTTCTAACATATTTTAGTTAACAACCTACATGATGGAAGAAAAATTATAATTTTTTTATGTCTTCAATAGACATTAAAAAGGATAGAAGAAAAATTAAATACTCTCATAGAAATTTTCATAATTTTTCTCTATTGGCCAAAATGTAGAACTATTACAATACATGATTTTGTGGTTGATTTGATATAGTAACTTTGCATTGACAAAGGTTAATTCTTATGGATTGTATTACCCATTTTTCCTACTAACAACTAAGTAAATTATAAAAAAAATAAAAATAAATTATACTAATGAATAAAATTTTAGCAAAACTTAATTACAAAAATTTAATTACTAAATTTGTATTTTAAAATGTGAAAACAAAATAAGTAAAAAACTACAATAAAAATTTATAAAAGGGCTCACCACACTGTAACTGGAAAATTATAAATACCTTTTGTATCATCTATATAATTTCAGATGTCTTTTTCAATACACATCATAAAAAATTATACTACACAGTAACTTATTTACTTAAGGAGTAATACTATCATAAAAATCATTAAAAAACTATTAAATGTTTTTTAAAAATAAGTTTAAGTTTTTTCAAAAATTCTGATAAACATCTAAAAAGTCTTTTTTTGTTTGAAAAATTCCATAAATAAAATTGAAAAAGCTAAATAAACTGGACTTTTTTTAAAGGGAGAGAAGCCTAAACATTTTAAAATAGCAGTTCAGTAAAAAACAAAATTAAAAACAGTTCACTAAAAGCAAAAAAAAAAAATAAGGGTCATCAAATAAAAATGGTTAACTTTTTAATGTTCCATTTTCCTTTCAATCAACAAATTCCTTTCAAATCCTAAATCCAAATACAGCCTAAGAGAGATGGAAAAAAAAAAAAAAAAACCTATCATATTACAAAATTAAACTATAACAAAATCTTTGTAAAAAATAAATAAATAAATAATAGTTATTCAGGCCCAAAAGTTAGACCTACTTTAATGAATCAAGAATCAACCAAAAGTTATTCAGGCCCAAAAGTTAAACCTACTTTAATAAATAAAGAATAGTTATTCAGGCCCAGTGATATGTCAAGAATCAACCAAATCATCTTCTTGACACATCACTGGGTCTATAAAGTTGGCTCGAGTGAGCTTTTCTTCGCTCGAGCGAGTTAGTTCGTTCTTCGCTCGAGCGATAGTTCCTTCGCTCGAGCGTGAGTCTGGTTTCAGACCTGAGGGTTTGAGTTCTTCGCTCGATCGAGTTTTCTTTCGCTCGAGCGAGCTTTTGGGTTGTTGGCTCGAGCAAGGCTTCCTTGGCTCGAGCGTAGCTTCTCTGTGTCTGGTCGCTTGAGCGACCAAGTCTTCGCTCGAGCGAGCCTGTCCAGTTTATATACGCAGCAGCGGGTTTTGATCAGTCTTTTTCATCTTCTTTTGATTCCAAACCCTAGGTCCGACTTCTCTCTCTCCCTACTTACCTTCTCTCTTAGGATTGATCTACTTAGGGTGAGTTTCTACCTTAGATCCTTTATTAAAAAGATAGAGTGGGTCGAGGGCTTCCATTTAATCTGAATTGTTGGTAGTTTGGAGCATTTGGGAGTTTGGGTCTTCATCTCCATCTTCTCTTTTGGGGCTATTTCTTCGAGGTAGGGATTTCCTACTCCATTCTATAAGTTTTGTTCTAAGTTTTGGTAATTTGATAAGTTGGGGTTACTTTGATAATTTTGGGAAAAACCCTAGTTGTTTAAATTAATTAATTTGTATAATTAATTTAAGGGAATTGGGGAATTTGGTTAAATTCATGAAATTGGGAAATTTATTGCTTAAATGGTGTAGTTGGATAATGTAAATTACTCGCCCATTGAATTGTTGATATATTTATTTCCAGTCTAGAAATAACTATGTTGGGCTATCGGTGGAGGATAGTCGTGATTGTTGTAGATATTGCATGTGGATTATGAATAACTGAAACTAATCACATTGGTTAAGTCATTAATTTTGAGTATTGCATTGATACAGAAAATACGTGTATTGATTGAGCATTGCATTTGTTGTAAGTTTGGCCAGGTTCTGAGCCATGTTGATAAAGTTGGAAAGTAAAACGTGTCTTAGACAATAGTGTCATGAGACTATAAACTGAAGTAATTGTTTATCTTGGTTAACCATCTGTTGAATGCTATTGTTTTATTCATTGCTTATATGTGGTTTAGTATATTTCTATTGGGCTGTGGCTCACCCTTTATGGGAACATCATTTTCAGGTTCAGGTGATAAGCTACCTCCAAGGACTTAGCTTGGAAGGACTTGGATTTTGAAGACTATTTTTAGTTATTTGTTTTTCATTGTTAGTACATGTAAACACTCAAGCCTAGGGCTTTATTTATATTTGAGTTAGAACTCATACTTTGTGTCCAAGTGTTGGCTTGGAAAGATGTAAGCCGGTAGGGCATTTACTTTGATGTTACATGTAATGCTTTTGTTTAGTAAGACTCTGATGGATATTATAATGAACTATTAAAGTGTTTTCTTTAAATAATGCATGTCAATGATATATAATGGGTATATTTTTGAGGGCGTTACAATTAAACTGTAACAAAATCTTTGTAAATTTTTTTTAAAAAAAAAAAAGTATAGTTATTCGGCCCAAAAGTTAGACTTATTTTATAGGTCCAGTGATATGTTAAGAAAAGGACTGGTTGATAATTAAATATTATCTAATTATCAACCAATCATCTTCTTAACACATCAGTGGGTCTATAAAATGGGTATAAAAAATGAACTTGTATATCATTATTAAAAAAAAAAAAGACATAAGTATTCACATAATTCATCATACATTCCAAAAATATATATATATATATATATATATTCTCTAGAAATTGAACAGCTATATACCAAGATACATAACTATACACACTATATTAGACTTCTTTCTAAACCAAATATTAAAAGCTTGATGTGTAATCTAATTATTGAAAATTCGAAGACCAAACATGAAAATTCCAGAGCATTAAAGAAATCTAAGAGAGTTCATTCATTAATCCAAAACATTCATCAACCCACTGTAATCTAATTATTTCCTTCACCCATTTTTCCATATTGTCCATTCAAAAGTTATATTTATTTATTTATTTATTTTTAATTATATGTTTTATAAGCAGTGAAACAGTGAAGAAAGTTAAAACTTTCAATTTCTTTTTACTTCCTTTTCTCAGATACCAAACAACAATGCATAAGATTCAAACTTCCTTTTCCTCTCTCTCTCTCTGAACAATCAACAACCAAACTAAGAGAGAGAGAGAGAGAGAGAGAGAAAATCCCCAAAAAAAAATAAAGTGGGCATGAAAAATGAACTTGTATATCATTATTTAAATAAAAAAAAGAAGTAAGTATTCACATAATTCATCAGACATTCCTATTATTTAAAAAAAGAAAAAAGAAAAAGACACATAAGTATTCTCTAGAAATTGAACAGCTATATACCAAGATACATAACTATACACACTATTTTAGACTTTTTTTTAAACCAAACATTAAAAGCTTAATGTTTAATCTAATTATTGGAAATTCCAAGACCAAACATGAAAATTCCAAAGCATTAAAGAAATCTGAGAAAGTTCATTCATTAACCCACTACAATTCAAGAAAGAAAGTAGAGAACTAATAAAGAATTGCAAGGGAAAGACCTCCCAACCTAAGTATGTGCTTGAGAATCAAAACTAAAGAAATATGAGACAAAAGGATAAAAAAAAAAACACAATTAGTAAGAGCACTATTGATAATTAAGAATATGACCATTGATGATTAATGAGAACCTCAACCCATTTGATTAAGATGAAATAAAAATGATTGTTGACATGAAATATAACCGTAAGAAAGCAGAATGAGATTTAGTAATTACCATAAAGAAAAATTAATTGACACAGAATTAACAACCTTATAACATATTTTAGTTAACAACCTACTTTAAGAAGTTTGTATGTACATGAATATCACAGATGGAGAAATTGAACTACTACAGGATTGAAGGCAAATTATAATTTTTTTATGTCTTCAATATACATTAAAAAGGATAGAAGAAAATTTAAATACTATCATAGAAATCTTCATCATTTTTCTCTATTGGCCAAAATATAGAACTATTGCAATACATGATTTTGTGGTTGATTCTATATAGTAATTTTGCATTGACAATAGTTAAATTCTTATGGATTGTATTGCCCACTTTTTGTACTAACAACTAATGTATACCACACCAAAAACAAAAAAATAAAAAAAAAAAGTGAATTATAAAAAAATATAAATTATACTACTTATGAATAAAATTTTAGCAAAACTTCAATATAGAAATTTAATTACTAATTTTGCATTTTAAAATGTGAAAAAAAAATAAGTAAAAAACTACAATAAAAATTTATAAAAAGTTTCACCACACTATAACTGGATAATTACAAATATCTTTTGTCTTATCTATATAATTACAAAAGCCTTTTTCAATACTCTTATAAAAATTATACTACACAGTAGCTTATTTAATCACAAATATCTTTCCTTAACCCATTTTCCCATACTTTCCATTCAAAAGTTCTATTTATTTATTT